TTTTTTGAAGTCGACTTTTATGTGATGAAAGTCGAGTCGAAGTCGACTAGTCGCTGATGACGTCATTAATGAACAATTACTTAGTCTGGAGTTGTGACAAACAGCTTGTGCACAGCTATGGCAGATGACACAGCGCTGCCCACATGGCTATTTGCTCCTATAACAACTCTTTTATCAGTTCTTTTGTCTTTGGGTCATTATATTTCTTACAGATTTCTGCTCGTTCTAAATCAGATACAGATAAAGTAGCACAGTAAAGATTACATTAATATGAATGCATTGATTCCCAACAGAACCCCATCCGGCGCCGTGGAGCGGAAGTCCAGACTCACGGAGACGTCCGAGCCCACGTTATAGCCCTCTTTCACTGCGGAGAGAGCGAGACGTCAGCCTCTGTTTGAACACTCATCATTCATCATCAGTGTCAGACTCACTGAAAGCGGCGTATCCGCTGCCGCTGAAGAAGCTGCCGCTCCGAGCGCGTCTGAAGCAGGAGCCCGCGGCGTGAGACGACAGCGCAGCGCTGAGCTTCATCTGTACGCCGCTGAACATCACGTCCCGCAGACACGCCGCCAGACTGTGTGTCACCTGAAGAACAACAGGTTCGGATCAGCACAACGCCACATTTCTGACCCTGGGGGCGTATTACACAATGTTTCTTATCTTAGGTCTTAACCTAAGATATGGTACGTTAAATTAGGATTTCAGATTCAAATTCGTATTACAGAAGCAAATCTTAAAAGTGATGCGTTACAATGTTGCATTACTCCCTAAAAAAAGTAACTAATTATGTTACTTAGTTACTTTTTATGGCAAGTAATGTTACTTTTTAGTTACTTTTTAAATCTGGGAAGTGCTTGCTTGTTTGTTTTTAATATAAAAAGTTCTTCTTTTACAAATGTAAAGCCCTTTCACAACAAAGTGAAGTGAATGCGTCTCAAGCTGAAGGAAATGTAATTTCACGTCTGTACAGTAGAGGGCGCAGCTCAAACTAATCACATGAAGAATATGACGCAGGAGAAGAAAGTTCAACACTATTCAGCA